GTCAGTCTATCTTCAGCTCTTCTGCTTTCCTTCTCCCTTGTAATGCAACTTTTCCCCTTTCTTTGCCCAGACCTGACTTTCTGTGTGTTTTTAATGTGCTTATAGTGAGAGATCTGCTTGACATGGCCATCTCCAGTGGCATTCCTGGGGCAGCAGCTAACCTGGAGCTTGCCCTACACTGCCTGAATGAGGCGCAGGGCAATGTTCCGGTAAGAAGCAGATATTTGGATGGAATGAATAGGGGAATTAATGGACAGAGAGTTAATAAGGACTGGGGACTGGGACAGCCTTTGCTGCCTGCTCTTTGAAGAAGGGATTTAACAAGGAGCACTCGCCATGTGCTGTGTCTCCACAAAGAGGCTCTGCCAGCCCAGGTGCTGCAGCAGGGAAAAGCCAAAAATGGTTCAAGCAGGGGGAAAGCCTCTCCTGGAGGCACTGGTCCCTCAGCTTGCTCCCTTAAAATCTCCTGGGGATCTGTATTCTCTAATACATTTTGGTGTGGATTGAGGAAAAATTTCCAAAAGCCTCTGTGGGCTGAGGATGCAAGATGAGGAAAATCATTGGGTTGGTGAGCAAAATTATGATATTGGAGAGTAGAATTGAAGGGCTGAGGAGCAAAATGAGGGACTGAGGAGCAAAATCACAAGGTTTTACCAATATAATCAAAATCTTCCTCCAGCAGACTGAATCACTGAAGTGGCAAATTAGCTGAAAGAAAGCATTTACCTTTTTGATTCCTTGTGGTTGGGATGCTAAAGTCTTTTTCTCCTCAATCCTGCAGGAGGCTCTGGAGATGTTCCAGTCAGGGCATCCTCAGACACCTCAAGGCCATCCCTTGGCTGATTATCATTATGCAGGTAACTGAAGTAGAGCTTGTTCCTTTGCTGACAGATACTGCCATCCACTTAATTGCCATGTCAAGCATTTATTGTTGAAAAAGTAACATGAGAACAAGATCTCGTGTTCCTTGGGGGTAGGGAAAGCAGCAGCATCTACCCCTTCAGTTTAAATTGTTTTCTGTGCTTTTTTCCCTGGGGAATGCCTGTTCTTGTCTTCATTGCTTTCCAAAGGAGAGCCGTCGATAATTGAATAATGAATGATGCTGATTCCTCTTCGGCTGCAAGTGATCTGTTTTACCAGAGGGATCTGTTTCAAATTGGTAGAGTGATCAATTTACCTGTTGCTTTTTATTGCCAGGCTCTGATACATGGACACCTCATGAGAAGGAGTCATTTCAAATGGCTTTTCATACCTATGGGAAGGATTTTCATCTCATCCAAAAGGAGGTAAAGCCACTGGACATTATTTGCCCTAATGGACAATTACAATGGAATGTTGATTATTTCTGGTACCAAATACCAGAATTCAGTATCTCTCTTCTCAAATACTAAAAGTATTAAAATAATAACAAAATGGTACACTGACTGCCTGTGTGAAAGGTGTGATTCTGCCCTTCCAGCCCTTTCTTCCAAGCTTTTTTGGAACAGGAAGGTTTATTTTCTGTCAGACAGACCTCTCCTGTATGTGTGCTGGCACTTCCATGGCACATTGCAGTGGGATAACCGGAGAGAATGGGGAAAACAAATATCATG